TTCCCGACCATGTTTTATAGATGTCATTTTTGCTAATATGGTCATGAAATCTCCAATTTTAAATCAGAAATTGTATATTTAGGGATTAGCACGACATTTTTTCGTGATTTCTTAGGAAGTGTGAATGAGAGAGAATTGGCAATTAACTCCTGGACTTTGGCTATAACTTAGTACCTAAGAAATGAAATTGCAAAACCTGGTGTGAAACATTTGATAATCGCTTTCACATTTGCAAAAAATGTAGCTGAAATTTGTCATCGATGTGAAAATTATAATATGTTTTTCTCCATGCTTAGTATGAGTGCAAATGTGTTTAGAATTAGTGTTTCAAGTTCTATCCCGCATTTACTAGCAAATTGTTGAAATGATGATAAGATTCCTCAGGGAAAATTGGATAGATTGCATATTTCCACATTTTGAATTTGTATAGGCAGAAATTGTCAAAACTCAATTTGGCGTATAAGGAAGAGGAACAAGTTTTCCAATTTTGGATTTTTATTATCAAGATCCAATAATGGACTTTTAAATTCTTCCTGAATCTCGATGTTTAAGATTATGGGGTCAAATAAAATTTTAGTAAGTAAAATTGATGAACCATTTGACAATACAAATACTAACACCTAAATAAAAAAGTTGAAAACACTCACTCTGAAAATTTTGTTTAAATTCTTTCAGAGATGCTTTTCCAAACAAATTTCAATCATTCACCAGATCGATTCCATTAAGCAATTTTATGGAACATGCTTAACAAATCTCGTTCTTACTAAAATTCAGAATTAATTCCCACTATCCATTATTCAAAGAAATTTAGATGTTACCCATTCTTTTCTATTCAAGTAGATATTTTAATTTATAATGTCAAATATTCATCACCGATGCATCTTACCAACCTCAGCAGCTTTTCATAGATACAAGTCAGTGTCATCAATAAAAATTTGAAGTATTGGGAACTACATCAGAAAATTAAAAAGAAAATTGTAAAATGATTAGAGAATTGATGAAGGTGGACATTTCAAACACATTTCTCTTTTCTGAATGAATTATATTTTATTGAAAGAGTTGCTGAAGTTTCAAATAGTATTATAAAATATAAAAGATTTTCATTATTTTTTTATTACCTAAACAAAATAAAATGATTGGTGCTTTTCGAAGGTAATAGCTTAATTCCAGAAATAAATACGCTTCAGATATGCTTCAGGTTGATGAATGGATCATACATTATTTATCACATAAAATCAAATTATGCTATAGTGTTACGACTTATACCATACTTATACATATTTGCATATGAAGCAAAATCCACACGTCGTTACCCGTTTCCACATGTCGTTATATGGTATATAATAATGAATTAATGATAATCACATCATTTGAAAGTATGACGTATTGCTTAATAACATTAATCACCAATTACATCTTTTAACTCAAATAACATTTTACTGCTGCACCTGGGTTGATAACTTAATACAGCCTTATTTATATATGGGAAATAATTGTACCAGATGCATCAGCTGATGTTACAAGAAAGTTCAAAAAAAAAGCCCTGTTCAGCCAAATGTTGACCATATATGAATGCGTGAAAAGAACTTGACGTTATCGCCAGGAGGATCGTTTAAACCATCAATTGGTTGTGTGTTGAATGTTTGTATCTGAGACATAAAACTTCAAAAAGTAGTAACATTGAATAGGATGCCATTCCTTGATGGAGCGGGGTTCTTTATCGGACTGACATTTACCAGAATACCGGGACACTTCAATCCTTACTAATTAAGCGTTATGAATAAACATATGAATAAAAAATTATCGTTTTCAAGGAACATTTCTTCGACCTGATAGAGAATTTCAGAAATTCAGAATTTGCAATAAATTTTTCAGCGAGAACTTACAAACATTCAACGTCAATGGAGAGTAATTATAGTGTTAGCAACAAAATGCAGGTGCTTTTAACTCAAATTGGTGCTAATTATTGTCGCCAAAGAATGTAATAGCCATAAACACTTGAATTTAGTTTTCAAATAAATTGAAAATCATGAATATTTATAATCGCATAGATATGGACGGAATATTGTTTGAACGTATGGAAGATGTTGAAAATGCAGCCCAGTAATCAATATTTGAAATTAAAGGTAGCTGAAGTTGTGAACATCATAACAGAGGGATTATTTCAATTCATTTAGCGTTTCTGAGAAGAAGAGGAAGTATTCTAATCTGGTAAGATGGGCTATGGCCAACTAAAAATTCCTTTTTCAAGTGGAAATTCTATTCATAAACAGTTATGGACACTTTATTGAGATAATCATTCATCGAAAGCGAAAACATTTCGTGATTTTTTCCG